GAGAGACAGAGAGATAGAAAGCGAGAAATCACACCCCCCCTCCCAGGGGGGATGACCACGCCAGAATCCCTTCTCCTCCATTCTCCTCTTGGGATCTTGGGCCCACATACGCATGCGGCATGAGTTTAAGCCACTGGGTCTGGGACTTGAACCGCAGTCGGCTACATGGGAGTTCAGCAACATAGCCATTATGCTGACTGCTGGTCCCTATAGTTACTATTATTAATCCCTGTTTTTGAGTGACAATATCTATCTATTAAGTGCTGATTTAGGCACCTGCTATGGATAACTGCTGACTGTCTGAGTCTGTATGATGGCAGAACTCTGGAATGTTAATATTCTGGAATGAGCTATTTGAAGGGCAGTTCACAGTGCCATATGCTTCTTTGACATAGTCATCTGTGCAAGGGAAGAGGAGTGTTATGGTAGGAAAGCAAACTTTCCTGACTGATAATCTCACAGGTTCTACCACTCATTAGTTAAGGAAGAAAGGTGAAGGGTCTAAGTTTTCCAGTCTAATCGCATGTCTCTCATTACCGCTATGCCACCTGCTAACTATGTGGCCATGAAATCATTTCTCTAAAGATCAGTTTTATCATCTATGAAAGAACCATAATAATAGAACCCACAACATAAAGTAGTAGTAAGATTAAATGAAATACCAAGTGCTTAGCCAAGGACCAGTGAGCTCTGTGGGGGGCCTAAGAACACGCATGTGAGAAGGTCTGTTTTCAACCAAGTTCTCTAGGTCAGTTCAGAAGCAAGGGCTTCGCCAGTCACTGCCATAGTTATGTCAGGGAAAGACTGATACTTTTCTGTGGTTTTGGTCTCTCTTTTTGGATAGTAAAGCTGATAACTAACTTTTTTGGAGTGCTTACCAAGTACAATAACAAAAACATTAATTTATTTAATAATCTGAATAACCTTACAAGATCCTTCTTCTTGTTAGTTCTGAAGACATGATATAATTCACCTAAAGTCCAGAACTCCTGATTGCTAAATCCAGAGTTGGCCCTTAGGCAGCGAAGCTCCAAAGTACGTGCTCCAAAACATGGCACCATACTTGGTAGGCAGTGGTTCTCAACTGCAGGCAAGGTTGTTCTGGGGTACATTTAGTGATTTTCAGAAATATTTTTGACTGTCACCACTGCAAGTTGCTAATGTTGAGACTCAGAACCCAATACCCCAAAACTCAGAACCCAATACCCCCAAATACAGCATTTTTGTCTTGCTGAACACTTTGAACTAAAGATCAGAAGACCTTAGAAGCAAAGTCTCTTTGACTCCCTCCTGCCCTCCTACCACCATCCTCACTTTCTCCCACAAATGAATCATGAAAAACAGTCTTCCTCTTTCTCAAGGTAGATCATTGAAATTAGAATCCTTCTCCTCCTAAGTAAGCCATAACAACCTAGAAGGGTCATTCTCTTCTTTTTTTCCTTGAAGATTCTCACTCCAGAGGTGCTATCCCACACACAGAAAGAAGACATGATGCAGAGAAATGCTAATAAGAACCTGAACAGACAGTCCTTGCTGGACTTCCTCCTTCTATTTAAAACAAGTAAACCTGGGCCAGCAGGTGGTGTGGAGGTTAAGATGCTGGATCCCACATGGTCAACTTTGCAGTTTGGTCCTGGATGGCAGCTTGAAAATCATGCTGTGTGTGTGTGTGTGTGTGTGTGTGTGTGCACCCAAAATCCCATGAGGAGAATGGAGGAAAAGGGATTGTGGCATGGTCATTCTCCCTCGCTCTCTCTGGCCAAGTGCACAAGCCCTGTAACAAAAACTAAAAAAGAAAGAAAGGAACAGTAGATTATATCTTTTCACATAATCACATTTCTAACCTAAGCATAAAAATAGACAAATTTCCCTGGATTTTGGCTCTTTATTTCAGAAGTTTCCTGTATCACATAAAACTTATTTTTTACTTTCATTATTTTAAGTTTGTTTTAAGGTGCTTGTACCCTCAGAGAAATGCAGCAAGGGAAAGACAGAAAGTGAGAAGGCACCCCCCTAGAGGTATGACCACACAGCAATCTTTTTTCCTTCACTGTTCTCTTGGGACTCTGAGCATGTACCTAACACATACCTGGCATGCCTCTCAAGTCACCAAATTGTGACTCAAACTGCACAGAGGGCCTGCAGGATTCAGCTGCCTTAACCACTACACCATCTGGCTGAGGAAAGTATCAACCTTTTTGCCCCTATAATAGTTTGTGATATTGGGCAAGACCTGATCTTCCCCCTCCATAGCAAAGGCTTTGATCTTTGGCTTTTCTGATGGGTCTACACAAGTACTTCAAAAAATTCATGGGAAAAAAAAGTTCATGGAATTATAAGTCTACTTTGGTGTAAAACAATTTCAAATTCATGCATTTTCTTATAACTTGCATTTTCTGTGACATTTTTGAAGACCCCTTACATAATTCTGTGACTTATTTTATGTTCTTCTAACCAATAAAATTGGTTATTCCCAAGGCTTGTATGTGAAGAAACATTAACATCTTCATATACAAATCTTTGGAATGGGATTTGTGTTATTGGTTAAAAGAACTTTCAAACAAGTTCCTTATGTAACCAGAATCCTTCTTGTAACCACTATTAAAATATGGTCTCTCCCATTTTCTCCTCTAAGTGTTTGGCTCCTTCCCTTTTCACAAACTTCATTCCTACCACCTGAATGGATGACCAGCTCCTGGCTGAGTGAGCAGCACTGATTTAGAGTCAGATGGAGATCCTGTCAGAACTGTCACTGCTGAGTTCTGGATACAGGGCCATAGGCCAACTGCACAGGTGCTCAGTTGAATGGGAACCAAGATCCATGACTAGGGCAGCTCCTGTACTGAGATTCTAGGCACCAGTGGCCAGTGGTGCCCACTCTCAGGGAAGAGCACAGGGGACTGAGCTGGACAGAACCTAGACTGGTGCTAAAGCCAACTTGGAAAATAGTCCTGCCTGAAATCCTGCTGCAGGTGCTCAGGAACAGCTGACAGAAGAGAAGAAGAAAAACTGTGAGGAGGAAAGTGATCAAGTAGTTTGCTTAATTGTATGCAAAACTATTTGCATACCCATTCATTGACTCATCCATTCAATAAGCATTAAATAGAAAGAAACTTACAAGGATGCCCTTTAAATCCATGGAAACAATGGGTTTGTCTTATCCAAATACATGCATTTTTTTTTTTCCTCCTGAGGCCCTGGATATTTGGCATGTGGACCAATTAAACAGAATGGAAAACATTTGTTATCATAGATCACCATCATTTAGCTTCCAGTAAAAGATGGAGAATGGGACCAAAATGCATAGATTCATATCTAGGCTAGAAAATATAAAAAATGTGAAGTTAGAAATTACATTAAGTGATAGAGAAACTAGGAAACAATTTCATAGTGCACTCATGTGACATTACTATTGGTATTGTGTTCCATGCAATAAATTGCTATTGATCAGAGAATTGATGATTACCCTATCAGCAATAGAGACTTAGATTAGCTAGATTTGTTAAGATGAAATGGTCTCATTGCTAAAGGCTTGCTTACTTTTAAGTTATAACCATTCTTTGTTTTCCTGATCCTAAGTTCCTAATAGAGAAGTCCATTCTCAAAGGTACATTGCCTATTTTTTGTTGTTGTTGTTGTTCATTGGGTTTTGTTTGTTTGTTTAAAAATATAAATCTTGGTTGTGGACTTTGTGGAAATGTCTCCCTCAAATGTGGTCAGAACTGTCTTTCGTTCTCTTTCAGTTTTAATGGCTTAAAAGGAGCACTTAAAGCAAACTTTTTATGTTTCTCCTTTTATTTCCAGAGTCCCTCTGTACTATGTGAACAAAGCCATAGAAGTCATGTGATGCAGAGGCCCTGATCATCCCTACCCAAGCTAAATGCTACTGTTGGTTGATCAATGTTTGAGTTCTTGCTTGATTCTATGCACTCACAGCATCATTATTATTGTGTTCAGCCAATGTTTGTTTTATTAATAGATTAACCCAGGTATTCCCCATCTATTTTGTATTTCAGTTGCCATCTGAGATCATTTTCCTTAGGCCTGGAGTAAACTGTTCTTACTTTTTCTTAGTGAAGAAATGTATTGTTTCAAGTTATACCCAGCTGTAGGGGCCAGCAGGTGGCATTGTGATTAAGGCGTATAGCTGGGTCTGGTGGCTTGAACTATGCTAGGCACATGTGCATGTATACCCAAAATCCCAGAAGGAGAATGGAGGAGTAGGGAAGAAGGGATTGTGACATGGCCATTGCCCCTGTGGCAGAGTGGGGGGGAGGGTGTGATTTCTCACTTTGCCTTTCACTGTCTCTCTCTGTCTCTCTGGCAAGCACACACAACCTATGGCAAAAACCTTTAAAAAAAAAAGATAAAAGAAAAAAATCATACACAGCTGGGCACAATGCTGTGTTTATAATTAGCTCTCAGTACTATTGGCTATTTTATTATTATTACACATCTCCGTTATCTTTTCACCAACAGGAACATATTGTAACAGCTGTTTTTAAATCTGCCTTCTTTATTGAACAATACTGCTTAATAGTTTTGCCCTAGTCCTTTAACATTTTCCTACAAAATTACATTTTAAAAATAATTTAAAAATTAAACATTGGCATGAGGGGGACTCACAATTAATGGGAAATATATGCATATATATTTTACCAAAACCTGGGTAGTAGGTATATCAGTGTTTGTTTTATTAATATTATTTATACTATACACTTATAATAAGTATTTGTGTGTATATTCTTAATGTCTTTTAAGTCATAAGAGCTAACCCTCTAGACATCAAGACTTGTCCAAGAACACTAGCCCTCTGATTGGGCTCAGTCTCACATGTTCACTCTCTGCTCAACTGTTACCAGAGAAGCCTTCCCTGGCCACCTGTGCTCATCTCCTGCCGCTCCCCACAACCTCTTCACTCTGTTTTATTTATTCCATAGCTATTCCTGTATGCTGCTATGTCATATGTTTACTTGTTTATTTCCTTATTCCTCCACTAGGCTGTCAGCTTCAAATAGAGCAGAAAATCCGGATTATTTTTAAAGCGACTGTTTATCAATATATACTGTGTAGCACACAGTAGGCGATCAGTGGAGACCTGGCAAGTGGTGAATAGGTGAGTAATCTGCATACTTCTGAAGCAGAGCTAGACAACAGTGAGTACGCGTTCATATGTGTACCTCTTTTCAATCACTTAGGATGGTAGGAGCTCCTGGTGAACCGTCTAGGCTGTACAGGGAGAAACGACACAGGCTCTGTTCTGTCTTCTCTGGAGGGTATAACAAACGTGTTTCTGACATGTTTGAACCTAAACACAGTGCCAAGTTTGTGTTCTGTGGAGTTGGAAAGGACCCTGACTATATTTTGGTTTAACTCCCTTGTTTCCCCTCAATGTAGAAACACAAGTCTGGGTAGATTGAACATTCACTCATGGAGTGTGAGAAAATCAGTGAACAAATTGAGCAAATTGAGGCTGAGGATTTCACAGGTAAGGAAATTGAAGCTTAATTAGCCTTCCCAGTCTTTTTCATGTTATGGCATGCATTGGTAATTATTACACAGGATCGCAGGAGGCTGCTCAAGGCCAGAGGCACATACACAAGGGGGTCTGGTCACCCCAAGCCTTGGCACAGGATATGAAGTACCACAGCAGGCTGCTGTATATGTTGGTCAGAAAACTGGCTCACAGAGTTGAAGTCATGTTCCCAGGACAGCAAACAAGAGGTGCAGCTGTAATTTGCATCCAGTTAGTTCTGAGCCAGCGCCCTTAACTATGGTGATCTAATACTGAAAACCCACCTCAGCATCTGGCAGATTCCCAGGTGCTGGGAGACTTTGAACTCCATCTCTTCTACTCTACAGTCATAGCCTGCTCTTTCAACCTGAGTATGACTGGTAGGAGGAATGTCCACCTATTTCATGAAAAGCTCCATGCCCACTCTCACAGTATAATCCCCCTAACCCAGAAAAGTCCATCAAGAGAATTAACATGACATGTCTCATTGGCTATTCAATCTTAATGCCAGGAGTTAGATATCCATAGGTTTGGACTGAATGTTTGTGTCCCTCATGAATTCATATGTTGAAGCCTTAATTTACCAAGTGACTGTATTTAGGGATAGGGCCTCTGAGGGAGTAATTCATGTTAAGTGAGATCATAAAAGTGGGACCTTCTTCAAAAGGATTAATGTCTTCCTAAGATGTGTAAGAGAGCTCTCCCTCTGTGCACATGAACTAAGGAAAGGCCAGGGGAAGACATAGCAATAAGATGGCCATGAGCAAGCCAGGAAGAGAGCCCACACCAGAAATCAAGTTGGCTAGGCCCAGCAGCAGTGGTGCAGAGGAAGCATGCCGCGCTGCAATCTTAGAAGCCATACGGAAGACCAGGGTTCAGTTCCCAGGTAGACTCATACAAAATAAATGCATATTTGCATGCCTTTGTCTCTGACTGTCTGGGAAGGCTGCTAGCAGGATCATGGCATAAGACTCTGTTGAGGGTGCTCATCTTTCTCTCACTATCTCTGTCTCATGAAAAAAGAAACTTAAAAAAAAAAGGAAACCAAATCACACAGAACTATGTTTTTTGGACTTGTAGCCTTCAGAGCTGTGCGAAAATACTAATTTCTGTTAATTAAATCCTTCTGTCTATGATATTTTGTTATAATACACCCACTGTTTGGGTTAAAGCTATATTTAATAGGAGAAACTTTGCCTCTTTTACTAGAACATCCAGTTAAACCTATCACAAAATGTGTAATGTTTAGCTGGATTTTTGCCTCTCAAGTCTATAGCATCTACACTCAGAGTTAAAGGTAACTTCTGAGTTCAGAATAAAAGCATCAATGATTATTGTTTTAATTTTTGGTTCTTAAAGGGCCAATCTTGATAATATCTACAAAACAGAAAGTGTCTTCTGAAAGTGATCACATTCCACTTTCAGAAGCAGAGAGTTGCTAGTGAGCTCTCAAATGGCAAAATCTTCCCTACATTAAATACAGCAACAAAACTCCTGTCACTGGACACACAGCCACACAAAATGAGCATAATGAGTTGGCTACTGGTTACAACTTACTGTAGTGTGACATGGTAAACAGTGAAGGATGAGAAACCAAATGACCAAGGTTAGGTGAAAGCCAAACAATGGATGTCTGTGATAATTAAGTACAACTTCATAAAAAATGTGATGCTCACAATATTTGATCAAATTCAAATACAGATTTAAAATGTTAAAGATGTATAGATGTGTAGGAAAAATATCTGGAGCATATGCCCCAACATGTTAACAATGGTCATGCCTGGATGCATGGATTGTGATTTAAATTGGCTTCATTTTACTTTATGTAGCTTCTACCTTTTCACAGTGTCAACGGAGTATTTGTGCAATTGTTGAAAGTAAATTTAAAGTGAATTAATCCACCCACCTCAATCCAAGACAAAACCAGGCAACCTGTGTTCTAGCACCATCAGTAATTTGACCATGGGTCTCGCCTCACAGCAGTGTTGAGTTCTGTTAATGGTTCGTAATGGGCCTCCCACTCCCCAGCCACCCTTCACCAACCTCTGGTTCGAGCAGCCCTAGAAATTTCAGTCATTCTGACACGATTTTGTTCCTGCTCCACTTTATTTTGAATTAATGAGTTCTTTTCTCACTGTAGTAATAATCGCTACAGAGTTCTCTGGAGACCACACCTGGCTGGCTCTGTTTAGTTCTGAGCTTCGCAATTGCATGCAAGAAGCTGAAGAGATTTGAGGAGATTGCTGCCAGGACTTAAGGGGCCCTGGAGGCACTGATTTAGCTGGCGGTTGAAAGACACACAGGAACAAGTCAACTCTACACTGACTGGATAAGGAATGTGAGGGAAACAGGCTTGTGGTTTAGCGAGAATATGAATGCTGGGCGCATTCAAAAGGGTAAGTGAGAAGCCCCCTCCAACTATAAAGTTATAGTGAAGGGGTGGGGTGTACACTGTGGATGTGGAGATTTCTGGACAGGACAGTTTTGCCTAAGAATTAAGAAGAAAGTGGAATCTGGTTAACTTAGCCTAATAATTAAGAAGGATGTTCATCCCAGGTTTGCCAAACCTGAAAAAATATTCAACAAAGAAAATGCAGATGAATTAGAACAGAGGAATTTTGGTTGATAATATAAGCTTTAAAAGACCTTTTTTTTGGTGTACGTGAGGGTGTTATGCACAGCAGTCTGGAAAAGCAACCTGAAAAGTCACAGGAAAGACAAAAATTTGGGGGCGCGAAGATGGAGTGGCTTTTGGAGTCCAAGGTTTCTAGTTTTTGAACACTGATTTTCTCTCGACTTCTGGCTTCTTAAGACATTTGCATGAGCCTTAGTTTCTATCTTTTCTGCACATGAAAATGGAATTAGATAAAGTAGATTGAGGTCCAGGATTTATGACCTCAACGTTGCACTGTATCAGGAGATTCCCATTGTAGGATTTGGTGATTGAAAATGTGGGTACAGAGGGAAAAGACCGCAAAGCGATCAGTTGTCCTAACCTACCTTAAAACCAGCTTGCTGTTCTACTTCTATTTAGGCTGAGTGCTCCCCCCGTCTAATTAGAGCCGCTACTTACCAGCAGCTGTGGTGAATGCCATTACTTGCGTTCACCCTGTGGTTGGGCCCCAAGCACAGGCTTTCTCTTTCTTGTTGAAGTTTCCCAGGTGATTGCAATATGCGGCCACGATGGAAACCCACTGATGTGGGGTCATGAGAATGGGCACACAGCCAAGAATGGGAGAGTCTGTATTGTAAAGTAGGTCTGCTCCATTCTCCCCTTCCAAGCACTCCCTGGGATTCTCTCTAGAGGTAAACACTTTTAATCAGTTTCTTTTGAGTCCTTCCAGAGAATTCTATGTGTAGATCAGAACCTATTCTGTACCTTGCTTTTTTTCTTTTACTACCACATCCTGGAAATTATTCACATTAGCTCTTCTAATCTCCCTCCTGTTAAACACAGTTGCATTGTGTTCCATAGTATGACTGTGAATTTATTTAATCACCTCATTGAAGTTGTTTACAACCTCTTTAAGTAGTGAATGTGTTTTTTTACACATTCCAGTGAATCCCACTACTGAGAGTAAAAATACTGCCACAAATCTAGGAAAGATGAATCATTCTTTAGCCATGAAAACAGAGCCATCAGAACACATTATAAAACCAAGGGATCAACAACTAGAATATCCTTTAAATTAAAAAAAAGAATTATTTTATTTAACTTTATTTATTTATTTATTTTAATTTGACCAGAGAGGGATAGAGAAAGAGAGTGAAGAGAAAGAGCAAAAATGAGAAAGCAAGTTGCCAGGTCAGGGACTCCAACTGCGGTTGGCCATGTGGGAGTGCAGTGCCCTTACCCAGCACGCCCCCTGCTGGCCCCTAGAATACCCTTTTAATAAGCCGACTGATCAATGATAAGCCCTTCTTCTGAAAGTCAACCTATCAAAGACTCATTCCAATGAACAGGCCTTTGGGACCCAACCAACCAACATAGTCACACCTGAGTAACAGGGCTTCCACAGATGGTACCACCACTTCTGAAAATCAGATGACCCCCAAACTCCATATTTGCAAAACCATTCTTATAAGATCAGCACTCTGCTCTATGTAGTGAGAATGTGCCCAAGCAGCCTAACTCTCCTTTACTATAATAATCCATAAATTCAGCTTTCCAGGCCCATTGCCCTTTATATGAAAAATACTGTAAAGTTATATTTTACACATGCTTTTCTACACATTTACATATTACATGAAAATTACATTAAAACCCTATATAGGGTATGTTGTACTTTAAAATGGATTAAAGGAATTTCAGGGCAAATTTGTGATTTTTGCCTAGATTTAGATTTATTTATGTTTTGTTAACACAAAATGTCTATTATTTTTAAATGAATAAATCTTAAATATCTATTTTTCAAATGAATTATTTATTTAAATGTATTTCTTATGATTTTTTGTTTTTAATTTGCAGTAGGGCAAATGCATTCATCAGTGAGAAACAGAGAGGGAAAGTGAGAAAGTTAGCTGGCAAGTTTGGGACTTGAATCACGGTTGGCCATGTGGGAGTCCAGCACCTTAACCACCATCTCACCTGCTGA